TTCGGCCTGAGTGGGTGGAAGACCAAAAGAAGAATCACGACGCGAAGGCTACTGGTATTCCCTTCCTGTCCACCAACGACCTCCTGACTGCTGAGCTCTGCGAGAGATTCGGGGCAGACGGCGCCTACATGGTGATCAACTTCCGCGACCGGTTGGGGGGGGCCACAGGGAACCATGCAGGGAACTACGAGTCTGCTGCATTGTTCGATCAACGGGTGAAGAGGCCCGAGGAGGTGCGGCGATTGATGTCCAACCCCCCAGATTACTCAGGGGGCACGCTGCAGTCTCCTGGAGTGTTGGAGATGCTCCGATTCAGATACCCCATGATGACCAACTGGCTCTCAATTCAGAGAGATCTCACTCTGCCGGGATGCACTCTAATAGTGCACCTGCCATTCTACGATATTGCGGGGCCATTTTTTGCGTTTGCTGTGATCTTCCGGCCGAATCCAGGAAAAATCGCAGTTCTGTATGCCATTCGAGACACAAATTGCTTTAAGTCGCTCAAAGAGTCGCAAGCGCTGGACCACTCAGCCGCTCTTTGTTGACAAAAGGTGTGTGTGTGTGTGTGACGACATGTATGATGTACAGTCTTACGTGTCCTGCTCAGAAGAAGCAGGATTTTCTGCGCTCAGCTCTGACAGCTTGCGCGTTACAAGAGAAAAGGCTTGTGTGCTGTGCGCAGGTACAGAATGCATCTTCACTTCATGGGGCTCCGAGTAGTTTGAGTAGCAGTTGGATGACAGGCTGAGAGAAGAGCGGCTAAAGAAGCTGCTGCAAAAGCAGAGCGGCAACGCATGGTCCCAATGAGGCAGTGACTGAAGGAGGCTTTGTGATGTTTCGATTCTGGGAGTGCAGGCCCGAGGAAGGACACGCTATGGCCAGGCCAGAAGGGAAAGGGCAGTGAGTTGACACAGCACGAAGGGAAGGCTTGACTTGGCGCGAGGCAGCTCGAGCAGCAGTACTTCTCGCAGTTCAAGGCTCGGCTTCTTTGCGAGGCTTTGAATGGGGTAAAACAGAAACATTTGGCAAGGCTGCCCTGGGGCTGTGTTGCCATTGGCCAAAAAGGCCTTGCCTGCTTGAGGTGCTGGGTGGCAAGCAGATGGCAGAGCCAACCTAGAGCATTCCGCCCCAGAGCCGAGCTCTTGAGCTGAGAGCTTTCCGTGTGAGCTGAGAGCCGAGCTCCGCGAGTCGCAAAAAGGGTGCGCTGAAGCCTTCGGTGTGTGTCAAGCGGGGACCCGGACGTGGCGGGTTTTCGTTTGCTCTACCTTTTTGCCACAAAAAGCACACCCACAGCAGCGCCCTGGTGGAATGATCCAAGGGGTGTGGCCTTGAAAGGGAGAGTGGTGGGGGCAGCAATTGACGCGTGTGCAGGTGGTGGGCGAAGACATTGCGTTCTGGCACGTTCCCGGGTCGAAAGGGTTCGAGCCTGAGCCCGCACACGTGCTTACCTGAGGCTTGTTCCACTGCGGATGTCGCTAGGTTTTTTTGTGTGACCAGTTGCTTTGCTGCTTCAAGAGAATTACTGCAAAGAAAGCCAGGGGTCAAAATTGGGACTTGTCCTTTCATTTTGAACCCTTTGCTGCCGAGGAAGCCTTTCAACCCGTATGGCCTGGAGGGGGAGGTGGTGCCTCGTCCGCAGTTTGAGGGTCGCGGAGTGTTCAGGATGGAGGATCTGGTTCTGCTTATCGATCACGTACATGCCTTTCAGCCAACATGCAGAACCCCTTGGCACGGATTCAAGCATCCTTTTCGTGCGGGAACGTTGAGCCATTGCATCAACTCCAAGGTCTCTGTCATCGAAGATGAACACCTCACCGCAAATCGCCCCGTCCTGGTCAAACTCACCAAGGCAGATAGATGTCATGTTTCATCCCAGAGAGCCGAGCTGAGCCACGCCTGATTCAGGCGCCAGGAAAGTCTGATGGCTTCAAGGCCGCTGTGCTTTGCTTTGACCAAGCAGGTAGCACTTCAATTACTCGGCTGGGTTCTAGTCATTTGCACGTACCATCAACACTTTGAATAAATGCACTGGGTAAGCTGGCCATGCACGTCGAGATTCACTTTCCGATCCTCCTCCATTGCTTCTTGCAGCCATTTGATGCTCTCAGAGTTCTACAATTGAAAAGGGACCTGGCTTTGGAACCAGGACAGGGTTTACTAGTCCTCACCTTTCTTGAGTCAAAACTAGTGGCGGTTGCAGAGTGACAAAATCAACATCAAGGTGGCGTGCCCGGCAGTCTGCGCAAAGCCCGGTTTGGACACCTGTAACTATACATGTCCCCTTGCTGCTCATGGTATCTAAACCATCCCCAACCATCCAAACTGCACAGCTTCAACATTTCAACGCTGTGCCAGCGGTTCCTAGCAAGTCTCACCTGAGGGGCCAATGTTGCGCTTGCGATCCCAAATGCATGTTGTACCAAAACCAAGCTATCTGGCTCCAGCATGCTCCAGCTTGCCAAATCTGGCAAATTTGTGGGAGGGCACTGTTTCAAAACGCCAAAGGGAATTGCCTCCGTGGGGTTCGGGGAGAACCCTCGGAGGCCTTTCCCGCCCACTTCTCTGGCGACGAGATTGAAATTCTGGCGCTGGAGGACGAGAAGGCTGGGACCGAGCTCCGCCGTGGGAGGTGACTGGCAAGATGAGTTCTTGAGAGCTGGAGACTGGGAGAAGGCAGAAACACAGAAAGAAGGAAAGAAAGAAAGAAAGAAAGAAAGAAAGAAAGAAAGAAAGAAAGAAAGAAAGAAAGAAAGAAAGAAAGAAAGAAAGAAAGAAAGAAAGAGAGAGAGAAAGAAAGAAAGAAAGAAAGAAAGAAAGAAAGAAAGAAAGAAAGAAAGAAAGAAAGAAAGAAAGAAAGAAAGAAAGAAAGAAAGAAAGAAAGAGAAAGAAAGAAAGAAAGAAAGAAAGAAAGAAAGAAAGAAAGAAAGAAAGAAAGAAAGAAAGAAAGAAAGAAAGAAAGAAAGAAAGAAACAAATTAAGAAGGAAATGCATGGATAATTGTCTAGCTAACGAACCATATAAGCAAACAAAAACACAATAGACAAGGAAGGAAGGAAGGAAGGAAGGAAGGAAGGAAGGAAGGAAGGAAGGAAGGAAGGAAGGAAGGAAGGAAGGAAGGAAGGAAGGAAGGAAGGAAGGAAGGAAGGAAGGAAGGAAGGAAGGAAGGAAGGAAGGAAGGAAGGAAGGAAGGAAGGAAGGAAGGAAGGAAGGAAGGAAGGAAGGAAGGAAGGAAGGAAGGAAGGAAGGAAGGAAGGAAGGAAGGAAGGAAGGAAGGAAGGAAGGAAGGAAGGAAGGAAGGAAGGAAGGAAGGAAGGAAGGAAGGAAGGAAGGAAGGAAGGGGAGAAATAATGTGGAGAAGGAAGGGGAGAACGAAGGGGAGAAGGAAGGGGAGAAGCAAGGAGAGCAAGAAAGATCAAGAGAACCACCGAGGGACGAACCGTAGTCACCCTGGAAGCTCGGAAGTCAGCAACACCAATCATGTTCTAGTTTGGGTGTGTGTCAAAACCAGGCCCTTTGTTATTGGTCTCATGTTTGGAGGGAAGCGGATGTGGTACGGATGGGCCAACTGGCTCCGGGCGTGGGTCCGCAGTACCCACGTTTTTTTTTGCAGGCGGAGGGAACTGGCGTGCAAAGTCCATGGCTCGGCCTGTGACAGACGGCTTTGCTGAAATGTGAAAGAATGAGTATGGAACATTCCTCAAACAAAAAGTATTTTTATCTTTGATTTTATTTGTATTTCTTTTAAAAGCAACATCTGCCGGAGAGATGTCTTTCACATCTCTTTTTTCTCATCTCGCTATCGCCTCCGCTTCGAGGCGGAGCTCGTGCTCCAGACAATGATGGCAAGTCCTTGATGCACCTCGAGGCACGCGAAGCCGGGCTCCGCGGGCAGCCGACGTTTTTCTCAGGATGACAGATGGGCGATCAATCTCCTGTACGACGGCGATTGCCCATCCTGCATGAAACAGGCTGGGCATTGGTTGCATTGGTTGCAGTGGTCCCCAACACGGCCGTGTCTCAATGGTAGGGCCCCCCAAAAGAAGACAGCAGTTTCCCATGTTGTTTCTCTTTGAAACAACCCAAATAATTGGGCTGGTCGTTAAGTTGGAAGCATAAGACACCCATCCCTTTGCCCAAACCTGGCGCTTGCTACTTGTAGGTGGAGTTTTTGCAGAAGAGGATGGACGAGAATCCTCAGTACCAAGGGCTTGTGGTTTTCACCAATTTGCACGATCCAGGCGGGCACAGAAACCACGCAACCAGGCAACATGCTGGCCTTGATGAATTAGTGAATCAGGGGCCTAGTGGGTTCGAACAAACGTGTTTAGCTTATACCAAAGGACAATCATGTGCGTAGAATAGTAGAACCCAATGATTTGGGGTGACCCAAGTATTGCTGCAAGGACTAGTCTTGATTAGAATCGGGGACTCACTTCACTGGACATCCTTGAATCCACGCTCGCTTCAACAAAGTTCATCGTAACACGAGTTGTTAGCAGAACTTCCCGTTTTGTTTTGGGTGTTTCTCAAACCAGGGAGACCCCGAAAAGGTTGGTTTCCTTTCTGGTTCCCCTTCAAAAGACATCCGAAAGGGTTCCGCATTGTTTAAACAAACCACCGTTTGTTTTGCCTCAGCTGGACGCAACTCGCAGACTACAATCCCGAGCTTTGCGGCGGCGTGGTGTTCGAGGAGAGCTGCAAAGCGCATCTGGAGGTAGGCATCCACTTGGGTGTGTGTTTTCGAGGCCCTTTGTACTTTGGATTAAAGGGGAACCACAAGGAACACCGAAATCCATTTTGGGGTCCCTCCCCCATTTTGACACATACCCACGACAGGTGAGCCGTTGGCCATGAGTCATGGGAGTCGCTGTGAAGAGGGAATCTTGTGAAGTCGCATCCCTGATCCAATCCGACAGACACTCCAAGCACAATCATCATCATCTTCATCATCATGATGATGATCATCATCATCATCACCATCATCATCATCACCATCATCATCATCATCATAATCTCATCATCATCATCATGATGATCATCCTCATCATCACCATCATCATCATCACCATCATCATCATCATCATAATCTCATCATCATCATCATGATGATCATCCTCATCATCACCATCATCATCATCACCATCATCATCATCATATCTCATCATCATCATCATCATCATCATCATCATCATCATGATGATCATCATAGTCCATCATCATCATCCATCATCATCATCATCATCATCATCATCATCATCATCATCATCATCATCATCACCATCATCATCATCATCATCACATCATCATCATCATCATCATCATCATCATCATCCTCATCATCACCATCATCATCACCATCATCATCATCATCATCATCACCATCATCATCATGATGATCATCATCATCATCATCATCACCATCATCATCATCATCACCATCATCATTGTCATGATGATCATCAAAATATCATCATCATCATCATCATCATCATCATCATCATCATCATCATAATCTCATCATCATCATCATGATGATCATCCTCATCATCACCATCATCATCATCACCATCATCATCATCATCATCATCATAATCTCATCACCATCATCATCATGATGATCATCATAGTCTCATCATCATCATCATCACCATCATCATCATCATCACCATCATCATTGTCATGATGATCATCAAAATATCATCATCATCATCACCATCATCATCATCACCATCATCATCATCATCATAATCTCATCATCATCATCATGATGATCATCCTCATCATCACCATCATCATCATCACCATCATCATCATCATCATCATAATCTCATCACCATCATCATCATGATGATCATCATAGTCTCATCATCATCATCATCACCATCATCATCATCATCACATCATCATTGTCATGATGATCATCAAAATATCATCATCATCATCACCATCATCATCATCACCATCATCATCATCATCATAATCTCATCATCATCATCATGATGATCATCATCATCATCACCATCATCATGATGATCATCATCATCATCATCATCATCATCATCATCATCATCATTGTCATGATGATCATCAAAATATCATCATCATCATCACCATCATCATCATCACCATCATCATCATCATCAGAATCTCATCATCATCATCATCATGATGATCATCTTCATCTTCATCATCATCATCATGATGATCATCTTCATCATCATCATCATCCTCATCATCACCATCATCATCATCACCATCATCATCATCATCATCATAATCTCATCACCATCATCATCATGATGATCATCATAATATCATCATCATCATCATCATCATCATATTCATTATCATCATCATCACCATCATCATCATCACCATCATCATCATCATCATCATAATCTCATCATCATCATCATGATGATCGTCCTCATCATCACCATCATCATCATCACCATCATCATCATCATCATCATCATAATCTCATCACCATCATCATCATGATGATCATCATAATCTCATCATCATCATCATCACCATCATCATCATCATCACCATCATCATTGTCATGATGATCATCATAATATCATCATCATCATCACCATCATCATCATCACCATCATCATCATCATCATCAGAATCTCATCATCATCATCATCATGATGATCATCTTCATCTTCATCATCATCATGATGATCATCTTCAGCATCATCATCATCATCACCATCATCATCATCATCATAATCTCATCATCATCATCATCAGCATCATCATCATCATCATCATCATCATAATGATCATCATCATCATCATCGGAGGACGGCATGCGGCACATCCACGCGGTCACGCGTGACGGGGAGGCGGGTTTGGCCGAGTGTCCGCCACCTACCTGATCACTGGGGCCATTTACCCCGGCTGGTCACCTTTTGTCTCATCCCTGGCAATAGAAAGGCAGGACATGGTGGCAAATCGCACAAAAGCAGTAGCTTCTGTTTTGGGGATTCCCCTTTCATGACAGAAGCAGCACACAAACTCTTTGCCTTTCTCTGGAGGAAACTATGGTCTCCTCTTAGCGCTACTGCTCTGTTCGCCAGACATGAAGCCATGTACTTACATGTTCTCTGGAACTTTCTCCATTGTGTGCAAAGGCTTTGCAAATCGGCAGGTCATCGCGGGCATGGATGTGTTCCGCAGAATCTACAGCATCGTTGGCATGCAGTGGGCACGCCCCATCCATGTTCAGGGTGGCTGGGGTCCAGCATGCTTTGGATTTGTTTGCTCGAGTACTTGACTGATGAGACTTGGCCTGTGCTTGTGACTTGCCTGCAGAGCATCACCTAGGAGTTTCTCGCGAGGGTGGCCCACTTTGATTGTCAAGGTAAACCAGAAGGAAAGCCCCTTTTGTGTTGGTAAACCAAAAGGACCCCCCCTTTTGTTTTTAAAGGTACACGATAAGGAAACTCACTTGTTTGGGGGTCCTACTGTTGAGACAAGCACTCATCACCGCGCAATTCATTGGCTCGTGCGTGTTGGCTCGAAGTACATTGAGTCTGCCGCTTGATGCGTCACTGACTGAGCCTGAGCTCTGCGCTTGTGTCATGCAACATGCGTGGGAATCTGGGACCCTTCAGGGTTGCCACGTGTTTTCAACCACGGGACGAGTCCTTAAAAAAAACGCCAGCACGGGAATTGGCAAGTGAATGCGAACGTCTCTCGCGTGATTTGCGTCTGGGAGTTCTCCTGCGCCCAGATCAGCATGGCGGACTATGACAAGGAACCTGACTTGTCGCTGGTTGAGGCTGGCTCGTTCGAGCCTGCCAACAGGGGTTCCTGGAGCAAAGCAGCTGGCTCTCCTAGTTTGGCACACGGAGGATCTGATGTCATCGACGTCAATACCATTGAAGACTCCAGTGGATGACCAGGAGGACTCTCCTCACTGCAGGTTTTATTTCCGAAGAACGGACTATATCGCTGGTAGTGCATGTTTCATTTTATGACGGCATTTGGGGACTCCCAGTTGCCCAGTTGGGACCCAAATGAGCAACTAGTGTAGCTTTCTCACGTGCATCGTGCGGAAACGTGAGGCAAAGCGTCATGCTTGCCAGTTCCGCATCTCATTGCTGAACAGGAGGAAGAGATGCGCGCCACACAGCGCGTGCGCATCAGGTGAATTGGGTTTTGTCCATGCAAGTTGTGAAAGTATACCAAGGTGCCGTTTTGGGTACTTGTTTTTGAGCCACAAGTGGGTTCCCTTTCAGAAACCCTTCCCCGAGCTCTCTGACACAACTTGGACCCTGCCACGGCTTTTGAGTCCGTCTGGGGCCGTCTCAGGCCGACCGGACGCACAGACAGCCGCGGACCGAGCCGGACGTCTTCGGCAGTCGAAAATGGCCGCGGCTTTTGGATAGAGCGAGGCAGGCCAATGGCCAGATAGGAAACAAATAGGGGCTTACAGCTGAAGCGCCCCGGTGAAGGCCGAAGCCGGCTGCCAAGTTTGTGGACCAAGAAACCAACAGGTTGGGGAGTTGGGGACAGGTGATGGGCAGGACTCCCTTTTCCGGAGGGAATGCACCGAGGCTCTGCTTCCGCTAGCCGATCCATGAAGCCGCCCAGCTCGCTCGCCTCAAAGACCAGTCCCCGCGCCCTTGTGCGTTGCGCGCGGTTCGTAGGGGTTTTCAGGGCTCCCTCTTTTCCCTTCGTCGGATTTCACAAAAGTTTCACGGCAAACCACAAGTCATCCGCCAGCGGAGACGTCCAAGATGCCACGAAGTGCAGGAAATGGGACCATGAACCTATGATCTAAATGAGCGAGATGCCAATTGGCTGGCCTTACCGAGCGTGTCCCCTTCAACCGTACACTTGCTGGGGGCAGGCTGTTGTGTCTTTCCCGAATGGGGGTGCCAGTTCCTCTGAAATTGGGGTATGGTTTCCGTAAACAACTTTGTTTCCTCCTTTTTCTGTGTCGCTTGTGAAAGTCAAGCAAGGGCAACCCAACCTTTGTGGGCGATCCTCCCAATTTTTGCAAACACACAACAACAACCGGCTCATAGGGGAATGCCCTGGAATGAGATTCACAACAACAGTACATCGCGTAAAAGCGAGGGGGCCCTACACGTAGTCGGTGCCACGTTGGCTCCAACTCGTTTTCTCACAGACATTTGGCCTCTGATTTGAACCAAAGGTTTTGGGGTATTTGAACACTTGTGGAGGGTACTTTCTCTTCCTGCCAGGGTTTGGTTTTGACTTTGATTCATTCCCAAATGGCTCAACGGTTTCAATCTAGGCTCAGCTTGCGCAGGAAGGACGTGCCAAGGAAACCGGCGGTGGCCTCGAGTTACAATTCGAGAATCCAGCGGATTGGGTATGTCTTTTTAGCGCATTCGTTTTCGTGACCCTAAGTACCATCTAGCACTTTGAGTGTCAGCCCGTTTCAGACAACCCTATGGAGGTTTATTTTCATGTCCATGCACTTGACAGGGAAACCTAAGCGAACCGATCCTCAGCCACCTTTATCTGATGCCAAGGCCTACCGTTCGTATGATTACGAGGACGATTACCCGCCGGACGAGCCGTTCAGGCGACCGGACAGCTCGGTGCAGCTTGATTTGCTTGGCGCAAGCGCAGCGCGAAGCGCCAGGTGGTCAGATGCTTGGGGGCCGGTGCCTGAGATTCGTGTCTCAAGATGGACTTTTGGCTTGGTTTCCTGTTGGGGTTTCCGACCAAAAATACGAAAAGTGGGTTCAAAATGTGAGACTTAGCCATATTCATGGTCCCGTTTTGGCTGCTGCAGTCCTCGTTTTGGGGCCCAGGAGTGACACGTCAAATAGCCAGGCTGATTTGTGGACTTATTCTTCTGGTCTTCATCGTTTGTGTCTTGACTTGGGCCGGGCCCTCATCTCCGGCCATCTCAGGCGAATAATTATGCAACTCAGCGCGTGATCCAGAGCCCAACTACGGGGGAAGAGAACAAGTGATACATGGGGCTGCCAACTGTTTGGTGGCTGGTTCTGGCTGCCGAGATTTTTCACTGTCTGATGGTCAATTCATTAGCACGGGCAGTTGCAGCTGCCAGAGAGACCATATCCTCTGGGAGTGGCGTTAAACTGCCCATTCTTCAGCTTCGCATAGCCGTACCACTCTTGAAGAGTGGGTTCCGCTGACTGGCAAATCGCACTCAACGAACGCAAGGTTGCAAAGCAAATAGAGAAGCCAAATCACATCAGCAACACACAACACGACACAGAAGCCAAGGGAAACAGGTCTTCACCATAGCTTCGTTGCGCCCGGTAGGTATGGTGAGCCAAACGCCCCTGCATCTTGTTAGACAAGGTCAGATGTATTAGCATGCGTGATCCAGCACGGCACACACACACACACCCACACCTCTACATCCGAGCTACATCAAATCCCTTGCCTTATTTCTCAAGATCATGCAGAGGATTGATATTTATTTGACAAGTAGAGTCAGTAGAGCTGCGCAGACCAACGTCCCAACAAGCCACTCCAACATAGACACACAAAACGATGCGTATTGAGGTTCGCGATATCAGGACGCAAACAAGCGGAAACGGGGACGCCTCAAAGCGCTTAGTTGAGCAAGGGTTTGCAAGCCCACCGCGCAGGGGGCTATGATGCATTGCAAGACCAAGCCAGCCAATGTTTGGCTCGTCCGCGTTGCATAGGTATCACCCGTGTACCAAACGTGAAGCGCATTCTTTCGCCGTACCCAGGCCCCACAGATTTCACTGTCAGAACTGGGGACCTTGTCCACATGCTTGGCTTGCCAAACGCAGGCAACCCGCGCGGTGATATGGGTCCAATTCCGAAAGAAGGCGTGATAAAGGGTGGGGGAATCATTGCTGTTCAGGTTCCGTTTTTCTTTTTTGTTTAGTGGTCTTTCGCACTTGTAGTGCAAGGCAAGCCGCTTGGAAGTCAATTGTTCTCTCAGAAGGATCCTGTGTCAGGCTCTATGTTGGTCGAAGACCTGGTTTCGCCGCCAACGCATCGTGCGAACAGCGCCAACACCGATTCCTATTCGTAGGTGGTTCCTTTTCTACCACGCGCTTGTGCATGGACAACATCCACTTCGCACCAGTTGGTAGCTGGTTTAAGCTGCTTTATCCCACTCTTTGTGGGGCTTTCCCATAGGGTTTCCTCCCGAAGTGGTGCGAAGCCGTACCGGGCCTCACTTGAGGCGTACCTGGAGGATCTCCGGGAGGCCCGTGAGCTGGAGGAGGCCCCCACGCAGTCTCCTTGACGGTCGGCTGAAACGGGTGCAACGACCCAAGCCGTTTGTTTCAACAAGCTGTGAGGTCTTTGCTCAGATGGGCTCCGGAATGGGTTTTCGGATTTCCGGATGGGGATACAGATGTTGTTTTTCGCTTTTCCTTGATTGAGATGGTAAGTGAGGCGTGGCTTGGCCAATGCTTGAGTTATTTGGCATGCTGCAATGCGCCATTGTTATGCAGTGTGCTGCCGTTTCTTTTTCCCCCGGCTAGGGTGGGAGGAGTATTTTGGGGAGAGGAAACCATGCAACCATGGCAAGACGCCGCCGTGGTCTTTCGTCGTGAGGTGACGGGCATCATTGGAAGAACAGTGGCCGGTGTTGGCACTGTCGGCTACGTGTCAGGTCACTAAGACGCCAAACATGGGCAATCCACGCCTGACGGACAAGTCATCACATGCCACGTGCTTGTCCACAGGCGAGAGCCAGGGGCGTGGAGCTCTGACGGCCAATGGACGTCTCACCAGTTTGGTTTGGCACCGATTATGGTCAGTTGGCTTGCGTTTTTTGAAACAGAAGTTATGAAGGCTTACAAACCCACAAAACTGACATTGGACACCCCAAGCCACATGGTTACCGTTAGCTTCCTTTTGGGGCTGCATGCTGGGTTCCGGGTTGCTGGAATCTCCAGTAGACCGGGCTGGAGATCCAAAAAGGACCTTCACCCCGTGCACAAGGCCAGTGGTGATGCACTTAATTCATACGGTCGGCCACAAAATGGCAGGCGCCAGGGGCCTTTTTTTGTCTGTTCTTTGGAAGGTCTTTAAATAGGGGAACCTCAAAATAGATCGTTTCGCTTGGTTTAACCCAAAAAGTAGCACCTTCACAACAAGGCGCACAATCACAGGCGATGATGTCGCTTTCTCTTGGGTTGGCCTGCCTTGCGGAAAGTTGGCCGCGTGGTCGCCGTTGAGAGACGCGGACGCTGGATTGGCGCAAAGCCAAAAGTTGCACGAAGAATCTCCGACAGGGGCGCGGCGAACGTCATCCTTCTTGGGGCCTCAGGCATTGTTGGGGTTTGGAAGAAACAAACTGCCTCATTTTGGGAGTTGGATCCCTATCCTATAGACATCGCTAGGCGGCCATGGTGCCAGGTCTACGAGATCACGACCCTGCCGCTGGTGGGCGCATTCTTTGACTGGCCAGCGCCCAAGTCGCCGATTTGGGCCAATCAATCACCCAGCAACCCACCCGTTCTACAACTGCAATCCCACCCTAAAGCAACCCAACTCTCATCCTACACCCACAAGCGGCCCCTAAAGTAAAATCGGAAGTTCTCTGAGGTTGTACGACTGGTTCTCTGAGTACCGCCTACGGGCTGCAGGCCGCGAGGACATCCTGGAGAAGGCCGGCCGACAGGATATCGGGGCTGCCTGTACATGCCCGTTCTGACAGAAGGGTCATTTTTGCAGGCGATCTGCTTGTGCATACTGAAATGCCTTTGTGAAACAGGTCATAAGAGGGGAACCCGAACCTTGCGCGTGGCAGGTGCATAACCACCAGGCAAAGATCCAGGACCCGACGTGTGCTGTATTCAGAAGAAATGAGGGTTTTATTTGAGCGCCTACTAGAAATACGATGGTTTGAGGGAATGGTGGAAATACAATATTTTCATCTCCTCACAGCCAATCTTCCCATGTCCTCTTGTCCGTGGGTTTACATGCAGGAGCTGTCTGAAGCTGAATGCGAAGTCGAATGCGAGGCGCGAGAGCAGTTGGTGCTTGGGCAAATGCGGGAGCCCGCTTTCTTTCCGATGTGCGCCCTGCAAACTCGCAAGAGAGGATCTGAATGGCTCTCAATGGACGTTACTGAGCCATTTGCGCAAATTTTGTTTGGAAATGCGTGGTTTCCTCGCAGGAGCAGAGAGAGAGAGAGAGAGTTTCACCAAGGCTTCTGTTGTAGGCGTGTCTTAGTGCGCATGGGACGTGTGCGTTTCGACCTTAGGTGGACTGGGATCACCTGGACAGGGGCCCGAAGGTTGCTCCCAGCCACTCGGATGAAGGTTGCACAACCGGGGGTTTGGCAATTTGGCCTCTGTGCTGAGGTCGACCAATTTGAGACACATCGCAGGTCCGTTCCGAACACCTTCACTGCCTTTCCCACTTGCACATGTTTCAGCGGTGAAGCCAACAAAAAAGGAGCGGCCTGCCAGGTCATTCTTCTTGTCGTTCTTTGTTCCTCCTGCTTTGCCTGCTTGTTAACTTACCGTATCTTCTTTGCTTGTTTAGTTTGATCCGATTGTTCCAGGATTCCACTCACTGTTCCCCGTCCTATCTAGTACTTCCACTCTTTTCTGTTTGCCTTTGGCAAGGGATTTGTTGCACGGCTTGCGCTGGGCTTTGCAGATGAGGGCAAGGCAAATTGCGGCAATCGCCGCGCGTATCAGAGCAAAAGGCTCAAGCAGGGTTTTTCTGCGATGGACACGCTTGGACAGCTGCCGGAACACGAGGCCCGTTGGCACACCTAAACGCGTTTTCCATGGGTGGCCTGATTTCTTGGCCAGAGACGCTGGGATTCACCCAAGACCTGGATGTTTGAGTTTGCCGGCTGACCAGGTTTGCATTGTCAACACGTTCCTGGAGGTCAAGGCGCCTTGGGCCTTTTTCCACTATTTGGCTGTGTGTGCATGTGTTTGCAATTGTGGATGACGGGGCCCCTTTCTCTTAGTGGCGTCCGAACAGGTTTTCCTATGTCACGCGGATCTCAGGCAAACGCACATCCCCAAACTTCGTCTCCACACCCCCTCGGTTTGTCTGCGGCTTCTGGGAAGCCGCTCAGGAGAAGAGGCGCCCAAATCTGGGGCGCGCAGGCACAGCGCCGGCCCGCGCTTTGGATCCCGAATTCGTCGATGGCTTCGACCCGGAGTTCCGGATCGAGCCTCCGAGTGAGGAGCGGCGCCGTTTTTTGGAACAAGCGGTTTTTGCCCCCCGGAAGCATGCAAAGCGTTCTTCTCAAAACCGGCTGCAAGCTTCACCTGCCAACTGCCAGCTTTTGGAGTGTTACTTCATTGTTCTAAAAACACAAGCTAACATCAGTATCCAAAATACACACGCTAAACATCTAGGTAACTTTGCTGTTGTTAGTTCACTATCCTAAAAACTAAAACACAAGTTAACTTCTTTTGCATCCTCTCTTCTCGAGGTTTAGTTCTTCTTCTTTTGCTGCGGGTAGGCTGGACGGGAGCTATCAAAACACACCCCTTTGCGGAGATTGCACGTGTCAAAGCGCTCCCGCAGTTGCGTCTAGGTTTCGGCGAGCCCTCTGTGGAGATCGTGCGCATCGAAGCGCTCTTGCCGTGGCGCCGTGCGTGTCGAAGGCGTTCTTGCTGTAGCACCGTGCAAACTTGCAAAGTGCTCGACGAACCCTCTGGGGATCATGCGTGCTGAAAGCGCGATTTTTGCAAAGGGGCTCCGGCTCGAGAATCCCAACTCTTCACGCGCAAAAGCTGGAAGCCAGGTAAGCTTGTCCAGCCACGGCTCAAAAATCGCAACTTTCAAGCACGAAAACGACGACAGTGCGCGGAGCAAGCTCGAAGATCGCAACTTAAGTATGAAAGTAGGACGCGAAGTGTGAAGAGTGCTTTTCCAGCCGCGGTTGGAAATTCGCAACTTCTTTTCAGTGACAGCGAGGTGCTGCTCCCGCACGAGGATTTTGGAAAGCGTAGCTTGTAAGCACGAAAACAGTACGCCTTCGCAGCTGCAACTCGAATGTCGAACTTGGAAATTGCGGCCAGCTTTTCGCTGCAAAAGTAGAACTCGACGTCTGCTCCCACGCAGCTCCAGCTCGCAAATCACAATATTTTAGTATAAGAGTAGGATGTGAAGTACGCTCCGCCAGCTCCTTCTCCGACATGGCAACTTTGGAGTATAGAAACCAATCACGCAATCTCTAGTTAGATGCGCAGCACTCGACCAACTCACGCAAAACTACATTTTTGTTGCTGTGAGCAAAGGCACTGGTCGTAATTATTGTGTTCTATGCTTCCGTCTAGTTGCTGTATTCTTGTTAGTGCCAGGGCAAACGAGAGAATTCAGAGATCCAGGTGGTCCCCTTGTTGACGGTCGGTCTGGGGCTGAGTGATGCGTCAGGACAGCGCGGCGAAGAAATTGGTTTATGGCAAAAAGCGTCCCAGCGCCTCGGCAGCATAGCAATCTCTTCGTGCTCGTGTCTTTTTCAAAACCGTTTTGCGACCCCTTGGAAAAGGAAGGCTTGAGGTACCGGTCCGAATTTGGGAGCCTGTTTTTTTCACCACGCCTCGGCGCCTTCAGGTTTGCACAGATTCGATACTCCGGACCTTTGGGAGCAGCAGATGATGCTGGAAGCAGACGCAGATTTCAAGGAAACCGCTGTGCCGAAAGTGCAAACGACACCAGAGGCAGTCGCACAAGCGATACAGGCAGCGCAAGTTTCGCATGGCACACATGCCGTTGCGACACCAGCACTTGAGGCGCCTTTGCTTGCAAGAGGTGTGGTGACATAGTTAAAGTAGTCACCTGACGTTGCCAGTAGGCTCATGTAATGCTGGCATTCACTGAACCCCATGGCATTTGTGAGACGCACATTGATGCATGGCTCATGCAGGTGCATCATCCATGGGAATTTGGTGAGCTGCGTTGACAGGGCCAAAAGAGATGCAACAAGCATCTCGAAACCGTAGCACCCCAGAAAAAGACTTCAGATCCCTTGGTCAGGGTTCCCTTTGAGTGGTTTTGGTTTTAATTGTTACCTTCTAGTCGCCTTTGAAGAGTTTCCTTTGGCCGGAGTGTTGTTTCATGGGAAGATGCCAAGAGTTGTCATTTGACACGGGCATGGGCGGGCCCATGCTAGCACTCAATGGATTCCCTTCCAAAGCTGTTTTTTTTTTTAAATTATCTCTCTCTCTCTCTCTTTTTGGTTCCTTGAGCCTTCAGGAAGCCCCACCCCCCTTTCGTAAAGCAGCTTTCGTTGGCGTTTTCGGGTAAAACACGACCCCGGCGACTGCGGAGCTTCCGTTCCGTGACCCTTCCGAGGGCGAGAGCCGTGCGGCTCCGGAGCTCAAGGAGGCCGGAGGCTCTGGTCGGAGTGCGGCACCCAAAGGTCCCCGGCAGAAAGGACGCGATGGACCCGATGGGATTTGTGAATCAGTGAAGGAATGTCCGGAAGAAAGAGGAGTCCACAGGTCAGGGGAGTCTTTTTGTTTGGGATGGGCGCTTGAGATTCTGGAGCCGGGGAGGATGAGCCTTTTGAGAGAGGGGGAGGGGCATAAAAAGAGCTGAATTGGCTCCGAAAAGAATGGTTTGGTTTGATTCGGGATTTCGGGTTGGGATGCAGAGTGGGAAAGACACCGGAAAAGGATGATTTTGAAGGCCCGTTCAGGACGTGGGTGGAGTTGTTTGCTTGCAGAAACGAAGGGATGGGGCGAGCGGGCTCACTCTATGCGGCTATGCCTTTCAATTCTTTGATTGTTTCCTTGGACTGTATTTTGACAAAGGCCCTCGAAGAGGCAAGTCTAGTTCATCCTTGTTTCTCCTGGGGATTGAGGGAGGGTTGAATTGTAGGGTACGGGGGGTATTGCGGACTTTGGGCAGTTTCAACAATTGGTTGCTTGGGGGAGTAGCCGCAGGATGAGGATTCAACATTTGCGAAGGATCAGTTTCATTGGTCTGGCGGGACAGCAATGAGCCAGCTGAGGATTAGGATGATTGGAACAGGTCCAAGTGCGTCCCAGTGGGGAAGTATGTGGGCCCCACGACTAGTTGCTTCCCTTCTGTTTCTGTTCAAAGATATGTAAATTTGTTTCAGGAAGGAAGCATGTATGAATGCAGACAAAAGTCTCCCTCGCGGGAGGCTTTGGCTCTACCCGCTCAGTCGGCTGCGCCGATGAATTTTGGCCAAGCACGCTGGCAGCACGCAAGCCACCAAACAGAACGTCGGGGAGGCTTGTTTGAGACGGGCGCATCAACTCTGCAATAGGGTTCTGAGGTTGAGTGGACAAACCGTCAGGATGCCACGGCGGCATTTGCCACGTGACAGCCCAGCGACACCGTCAGTTCAGCTACAACAGAACCAGCCAGTAGCGAAACCTTCCCTTCTCACAAAAAGAATAGGGCGAGGCTGCTTTCAGGCCTTTTGATTCTTCACATAGTTTCGGGAAGCGACTCCTTTACCAGGTTCTGATTCCTCAGATGGGTTCTCCGAGCAAGAACGTGGCTCGCTGGCCATAGCCGAGGTGGCCATGCTCCTCGTTGCTCCAGTGGTATGCCCCCCACTGCAAGTGTCGCCCGTGTCATCGCCCTCCGCACCGAGCCGTGGACCGCCACAGGACCTTTCCTTTCTCTCCCGGAACCCTGGGGTGGTCGTTTTGAAAGCGCGCCTTCCGGTTTGAGGTTGCTTTGTGTGTGTCATTTGTTGCGGGAACCCTTTTTGGGTTGGATCAAATTTGAAAGGACGCCAACCATTCTGTGGGCTCCCCAGTTTTGAGTGAAGCCACCCATGTTTTGGGTTCAGTTTTTTGTTACAAGATGCATCCGTCTTCAGGACGTTCCCGATCAGCCTCGGTTGCTGGGGAGAGTAGCCTCACCTCGCCCGGAGGGCGCTGAGAAGCCGTCGCTGGGCATGAACCTTCACCCGTGTGGGTGTGTGTTCTTTTCGAGGGTACCCATTTGGTTGTTTTGAAGGGATACCAAAGGTGTCCCCCCCCCCCCCCCGCATCTCCTTGGGCGCCCCTCATTCAGAGCGAAGCTTGAGCAAGCTTGGAGCGGGCACTGCTCAGGCGCGGCGTGGTGGAGGCTGACCAAACACTCGTGTCGGGCACCCAGTCGTCGGCGTCCATTGGTTTGAGTTTGCCATGTGGCCATACTATGCTTTTATTTTTCCCATGTCCCACCTACTTTGATGTTCATCAGGGGTACAGGGTTTGGTCCCACAGCCATGTGTGGCGCTGAGTCTACTTTTTCTTTCTTTCCGACTGCGTCGAGGCCAGGTGCATTGGATCAGATCACGACGGAGACTGGGAGCACCAAGATTCGGTGGTGCGTGGATGGGCAGAAGCTGGAGTCACACGCGGAAAAGCTGATAAGCCCTGAGTTCAAATTAGGTGTGCCAGGGCAGGAGAGTCAGCCTTTCCGCATCATGATCCTGGCGAATCAGACCGGGGGCAAGCATGGCGCTGGTTTTAAGAAGGCCAAAGGCGCGGGATCCGTACATGTGGTGGCCAGGTTCAACCCCTTCTGGCGGCGTGATTTTTTTGGAAGGTTTGATGGTGGCCAAACCCCTTTCCGTGTGTCTCTCTGCGAAGCTGGTATGTTTTTTGTTTCCTACTTCCAGTCAGCGCGAAAGGCCGCAGCACCATCGAGATCAAGTGCCTGGGCTCCTTCGAGGGCCCCGCCACGGGCATGTTGGTGACGGTGGGCTTTGGCAGCCGGAAACAGAAGGCCCGGGAGCTGGTGAGGCACAGCTTCGCGGAGAAGAGCTGCTGCCCCCTGCCCAAGGGCAGGGACCCGGTCTGGGATTTGAAGGCGGCCTTGTGTAAGGAGACCAAATGCGTGGACATTTGTATAGAGATCCTGCCATTTCTGTAATTCAGCGCCTGCGAACGACAGGCAGAATTGAGAAGTCTCACTCGCACTCTACCTGGCACAGGGGTCCTTCTGTCCTTTTTGGGTGATTTTAGTATCACCATTTGGGCCTGTTTCTTTACGGAGCTTCCTTTCGGTGATGCTTGTCGGAGACACACAAGGACCCTATAGAGATGTATGTCGTCAGGACGCATCAACAAAAGCGGTTTCCATGCAAGACGCGAATTGCGTGAATGGGCAGTCATGAGTCGAAAGCAAGGAATCTTGATGTCAAGCTTCTGGCGTCATTTTGGTTCATTCAGTATAGTTATGGGTGCAAATTCACTCGTGTAGGATAGTGCCTTTCCCGGCCCGCCTGATGCTTGGATTTGCCGATTTGCCTGGCAGCGGTTGCAACCGATCTTGTTGCCAATGCGCATTGCGCGTCACCCTTCGAGGTCATGGTGATTGGCCCTGCATGGACGAGGGGCGAGATTGAGAAGCCGGCCGGCTCGAAGGACATGGGGACTTGGACGGCAGCCGCTTCGGCCTTACGTGCCGAACATTTCAGGTCCTTCAAGTGGTGTGTGCCGGGCACTCTTTTGGGCATGTTTGGGATCAAAATGAAGTTGACCTATTGACACCGACCTAGATGGACTCTGCAGTCTTAGGTCTATACCCCTGAACAGCAGGCCCGGCTAGGCTGGATCATCGGATAGGGTCTAGGCTTGTCCTTCGATGCACTCACAGATGCACGAGCCATTCACCACAGGTTCATTTGACCTCATGTCCTCTCCATCTCTCGCATCTCTCGCATCTCTCGCATCTCTCATATGCATAGCTCTTGCATCTCTTGCGCATTTTCTCTCGCATCTCTCTCGCATCCCTCTCACATCCCTCTAGCATCTCTCTAGCATCTCTCTAGCATCTCTCTAGCATCTCTCTAGCATCTCTCTAGCATCTCTCTAGCATCTCTCTAGCATCTCTCTAGCATCTCTCTCGCAACTCTTTCGCAACTCTCTAGCATCTCGCATTTCAAATGTATCATGTGCAACGTATCATGTCTTATGTGTTTGTCTTTTACACTTCATGTGCCTCTTATGTTTCACATGTCTCTCTTCTCTTTCATGTCTTGCAACTCTTGCACATCAGCATTGCGTCTAACAGGTCCAGCATGTTTG